CCCAAAGTCATGGCACCTTCTGCCTTCCTCACTGCCAACAGAGCCATCCCTCCAGCTGCCAAAAGGTGGTAGCAAAGGCTTTCCAATTCTCAGCATCTGTGCTGATGGGAAGGAAAATGCCTGAGCCTCTTTTTTTTCCTTATTTGGGCTCTCCTAATCTCCTAAATCAACAAATTAGCACAACTGAGCAACAGGTGCTTCTCCCAGAGGAACGCAGTCCCAAGGGCAGGTACTCCTAAACCTCTCCCCTTTCCCCCAGATGTTGGCAGAGGCAAGATGCTGAGTGGGAGTCCAGCACAGGAACAGTCCGCTGCAGCGGGTGCCCAGGCCACAAGCAACCCATTCACATGAGGGGCTCGAACTCACTCGAGCCCAGTTTGGCATCCTGGCACTGAACAGAAATGTCTTCTTGGGAGCCTCCACAAGGCAACTCTTTGCAATATTTCTTGATATTTAATCTATCAAAACTATTTAATTGCTAGCAGAAAGTAACATGCCCTCTCTTAGCAGAAGTTAACAGCTCCCAAGTAAATTCAATTTTTTTAGGGGGGGTCCTCTTTGTTCTTTCTTTCTTTATACATTTCTCTTCTTTCAATATAAAACTTTCAAGAAGGTAAACTACATCATTTGAAAGCATCATTTTAATCATATAGTATAGCAATAAAAATGATACCAATCAATCTTGAGAAAATAGCATTTTCACTGCCAATGGGAGGTGCAGAGCAAGTCCCATCTAACTGCGCTCATTCAGAAGACACGAAATGCTCTGTCCTCGGCTTCGTAAGACTGCAGCTCACCTGCATGGCATCTGATGAACCCCTTAAGCAATGACAAGGTTTTGCAAACCTTAACGCCCTGATCCTGCCCTGAACATGCCAAGTCAACAGCAGCCTCTTGGTCTGCGCCCTGAGGCAGCATGGCGGGGAGGAGCAGAGAATAGAAAGGGAAGGGTTAATTCCAGCTGGGCAAGTCTGGTCAATTATTTCCTGAGCAGTGTTCAAGAGTAGACTTGCATGCAAGAACTGGTTGGGGCCAATTATGGAGGACAGAGATAACCGATGCTAAGCTGTCTCCATCCAGGATAACATATTAGCCCTTAAGGCCAGTTGTGTCCTTCAAATAAGGGCAAAATAAGAGTGTTCTCCAGTGGGTCTATCATCTACCAGCAGACATTTGCTTTCCCTGCCAGGTTCACCATATGTTTGTCCTGCTTAGCACAACTACTGCCTTGTCCATTTGAAGGAGAGAATGAACAACTGAATGTCATCACAACTCACCCAGAATTTCTGCATATCTTCTCCCCAAAGTTTCATCACATAAATTCAAGGCATCCCCAGAGAAAGAATCTTGTGTTACCCAAGCAGTTGGGAGACAAAACAGATGAAAGAGCAAAAAAATACCCAAACATTTCCTTGCAAAGCCAACCTCATCAGCAGAAGGGAACCCTGGAGCACAAACTACACAAGTCCAGGGTTAGGCCGCTGAGTCAGAGGCAAGCAAAAGTCCTTGAAACATCCCAGAATCATCCTGCTTCCTCTACGCCTATCAGGGCAACTCAGGTGAGGGACAATGCTAAATCTCCAGAAGAAGCCAGATGGAAACCTTGCTATTTCTCAGATGCTCTGGGATTCCACCCACCCACCTGTACAGCTTCAAGTGCCTGTTTCTCATCCGGAAGGGCCCAGCACTGAAAGCTCAACCTTTACCTGTCATTGCAAAATCCGTGGGTTGCCCACAGCAGGTTCCCCCGATGCTCTTGCCTGGGCCAAGCGGGCTATTGTTTCAGCAAGGGCACCAGCTGCTGCAGAGTGTCTCTTGGAGTCATCCTCCAAGACATCAGCCCTGCTGGGCTCCGACTAGCAATGCAGGGAGGCACTCCCTCAAAGGCAGGGCGACCCCCCCACCTGCCTGCCTGCCTGCCTGCCTGCCTGCTGGGCTACTACAAGCCCAGCTACTGCGCTCCAGCTGCCCACCTCTGAGTTGACACAGTCGCCTAGCAGCGCCCTCGTCTCCAGCGCTGCTCTCAGGCACCGCCTCTTTCTCCTTGCAGCCTTGGCAACCAGAAGCCATGGTGGAGAGGGAGGAGACCTAACAGCACCTCCTGGCAAAGGAGCTAGGCAGGCATGGAGAATGGGGGCTTGGACCTTCACTGGGTACTTCTCCAAGACATCCCTGACAGGGGTGGGCAGGCTCTCCCCACCCTGTCTCTGCCAGGAATAACTTGAGGAGGGAATGGGATTGAGGGTCCAGTAAATGGTGCGGCTGGGGGCAGGGAGGGTGAATCCCTGTTAGGGATCTGTATGAAATGAATGAAACAGATGCAAAAGTATGCATGGAAAGTCTTCCCAACAGCGTCTGCGTGGTGAGGAGCATAAGCCTTTATTGTCATCCAAGGCCAAGTACAGACAGCACACAAGAGAGGGGTGCCCAGCCAGGCCAGCCTTCCTGCTGCTGCCTGCTTGGCTTGGGCTCGGGGGCGCGCATGCAGAGGCTGCCGGCCAGGCCAGCTGCTTCCGGCGAGTGGCGCGAGATGCGACTCGGGCGGCGGGCGAGGAGGCTTTCTGCTCCGGGCGCCCCCAGGAAAAAGCACCCCACAGCCCCTCCGGCCCAACCGAATGCCTCGCCGGCGCTGGGACATCCAAGGAAGCGGCTGGGCTGGCTGCTTGCGCGGGCGAGAGGGGCTTCCCTTCCCTTCGGGAATCACACAGGCCCGTCCGTCTTAGTCCCTCCAGCCCGTCATCTCCTCCCGCCGTCAGACGATCAGGGCGCAAGTGAGAAGAGAGAGCCGGGCATTTCCCGGGTTGTCCTTGCGCTCCGCCTTCGGGGCCCGGCGTGGCTCAGGCGCGGCTATGCCGTTCTCATCTCGGTGCAACGGAGCGAAACGGGCGCAGGAGCGCCTGGCGCGGGCGAGCAGCACCCTCTGGAAAGCCCTTCGGCCGCCAGCCCCTTCGCTCTGGCTCCCCGGAGCTCGAGGGGGGCCCCCC